AAAAAAAAAAAAAAAAAGTTCCCCAGGGCGCAGGATAGGAGCCCTTGGCCTCTGTGGTGCCTGCTTCCCTCTGGACCTGTGCAGAGCTGGGAGGAGGCAGATAGCTGAGGGCCTTTTCAGCTCCAAAATGCAGAATCTGAAAGTAGATCCTTGGTCCCTAACCTGACCCTCTACTGCCTTGGATGAAATTGCCTGAGAGTGATCATGACACCACAAGAGATCAGTAGAGTGTCCCTTCCCTGCTTAGAGAGAGGTTTCCATCTTTGACTTGAAGCGTTGAAGTTCAGGTCCTTGAACTTCCTCCACAGATCACCTTGGCTTCCACGCCCTACTCATGTATCCCCAGCCCTGCCCCCTCCCCCTTCAAGCTCTCAGAGCCTCTCCTTATGCCCAGGTTCCCCACCTGTTGGGGTTCTTGCTTGGCTGAGGTGTGACTCTTTTTACCCTGATGGTGGCCACCAAAAGGCGCTGGCACACACCTCCTGGACAAAGCAGCCACGTGCCGGCCAGGGCCCCCCATGGGAAGCCCCTCCCACTGCACTGATCCCCCTTGTGCTCACGTCTTTGGTCTGGATTGTTGGTTCCACTTTAAAATGGGAGTGACAGAATGGGAATGCCATCTGCTCACCGCATCACTGTGTACAGGGAGATCTGGGATGGCAAATGGCTGCACCCTGTGAGGCACACGCACTGGGTGTTTGCACTGTCGGCCCCACACTTGCCATCAGAAGTGTCTTTTCCAGAGCACAAACTTTGTCCAAGGCAATAAGATCCATGATCTGCGAGTCCAAATGCCTGCCCCCAAGTCCTGTGAAAGAAAAACAGCCCCAAATAAAACCTGGGCGGACAGAACGTGCTTAGGTTTCATTTCCAAGTAACAAGTATTAGCAGAGTTGGCTGAGCATTTGCAAACCCATCTCGCTCACATCTGGCCCCTGCTCAGTCCCACCCTCTCCCCAGCAGGCTCCCTGGGCTCCTGGTCCAGCAGCTGAGGGGTGGAAGGCACCCCAAAGACACGATCCAGCTCTGGCCCAGGAGCTGACCAGAAAAGGAGGACAGTGGAGGTGGCCGTGGGGCCCCACACTTCCACTCTGCAGGGGCAGTGTCCGTCCAGCTCCGTGTGACCTCCGGGCAGCAGTGGCTGTTGTTTTTGGCAGAGAGAGGGTTCTTACAGGCAGGAGAGACACTGGCCTTCTGCTTCACGCCCCCCAAGAGCAAGGCCAGAGGGAGGGTGGTGCTTTCAGTGCTCATGAAATGAGGGAGGGTCCCCTGCAGTTTAGCAGTGAGGAAGCTGCCCAAGGCCCCACCTAGAGGCCCTCTCTGGGTGGAGAGCTTGGGTGGAGGGGTGGGACTGGGAGACCAGCAAACTGGACACCACTGCAACACAGAGGAGCCGGGGCGGGCGGTGTCTGGGCCAGGGAGGAGAGATCTTGGTGGAGCAGCGGACCATTCCCTCTTCTGTCCCTCCCATGGGCTACAAGAAAGGCTTGCAGGGAGCAGGAATGCTGTGACTCGTGTGTGTGTGTGTGTGTGTGTGTGTGTGTGTCCAGAGATAAGAGCAGAAGCCTCCAGCCTGCTGTGGCATTGGAAGGACTGATTAGTCCTGGGCTCGTCTCAGACCCAATGTCAGAGACCTCTGGAGACCAAGTTCAGGCATGATAAAGGGGATTCCCATTTTGTTCTGCTGGGGGGAGCAACCCAGCCAGTCTTTCCCCCCATTATCCCTATTTTTGCAAATTTGAGGACACCTTGTTTCCACCTTGCCTCTGAAGAAAAGCTGAGCTGTGGGGACCCCCAATCAACCACATTGTTCCCCCACTGCCACCCACCAGGTACTGGGTCCTCCCCACCCAGGTCACAGGGCTGACTTTGCTCCATGCGGGGCCTGGAGCTGCATGTCTTGCAGCTTTTGTCTTTCAAAAGATTCATTTTTAAAAAGTGGGTCTTTGGGGTTCAATGTCAAGGTAGTTAAAGAGCATCAGAAGTGACAGTCAAGATAACTATGGCTGGACCCGAGAGGAAAGGAGAGAGTGATTTGTAAAATCACTGGGCAGGAATGTGAGAAAAGCAATAGCAAGTATTTTAATACTTTGCATTTTTGCTTGAAAAATGGACTTTCTGTATTACACAAAGAGTGCAGTGCATCCTGGGAAACCCAGAAAATCTGCAAGCAAAAAGACATAGAAAATCTCCACACTCCCTTCCTGCCGGGCACCTGGATCATCTCGAGTGCAGCCCTTCCGGCCCCTTCACGCACCCACACGTGAGGGACATGCTTGTGTTACAAAGTGTGATTGTATCGAACACTGTTGTGTAAATGAAATACAGGGTTTCGCCAAGTTGATGGACCTGGACCTCTGGGGTGGGTAGACCTGGAGACCCAGTGAGCCAGCCTCAGGGACCATCCAGACACGAGCTGTCCCCTGGGCCTAAGGCTGCCCGGCCTCTTAGTATCTGTGGTCCCCGCAGAGGCTGCCTGCCCCTGCGGTGCCTCCGCGCAGATGAATTCCTGCTGTGGTCCCAGCTGGTGTGGGGGGCAGTTCTGGTCTTCTCAGCTGTGTTGGCTGGTGGTCTCTCCATACCTCTCAACACCCTTGTGGGTCTAGTTTCCTTCCTTTCTAACACAGAACAGAAGCCCAGAGGGCTCTGAAATTGCTCCTAGGCCACCCCTTGGGCCAGCAGGGCAGCCTCCTCCAGATCCCCCCTGGCATCACCCACAGTGGTCCAGCCCCGCTGAGAGTGGCTGAAGGGACTGACAGATCCCATAGTCAGAGAGGTCCGTAAGGGCCTGGCCTTGCAAAGCACTGCAGAAGTGGGGGGCTCCAGGGACCTGGAGGGTGTCCTGGGTCCTGTCGTGAGGAGAGCGTCCCTGAGGTCAGGCTCAGGGTCATGGGGTGAGCGTCTCATTCTATCCATCCATTTCTGTTTTTACCTGTAGTTGACTCTGTCTGTTTTCCCTCTCACCATCTTTGCTGCCGCTGCTGCACCACGGGGCTGAAGAACAGAACTATGTACCTGCACACCGTCAGCGACCGCGACACCGGCTCCATCTTTGAGGAGCCCTTTGACGGCAGGAGCCTGTCCAAGCTGAACCTGTGTGAGGATGGTGAGTGCTTCTGGCTCAGTCTCAAGGTGCAAGATCTAGCCTGGGGTGGGGAAGGAGTGCTGCCCCCCTAACCTTGGCAGTGCTCCAGGGTGCTGGGGACCTCCCTGTCAAATACTGCATATGTTGAACTCCGTGCTTTAAAAGCCCTTTCCTGTGGGTTTGCTCATTCATTCATCTCAGCAAACCTGTACAGTCAGCAAGATGCATACCCATCTTACAGATGGGTAAAGTGTTGAAGCCAAGAAAAGCAGTAAGGATGGTACTCTTGTCAGTTGGAGGTTCCAGCACCACATCTGCTTACCGCAAGGACAGGGAGGCTGGGGTCAGGCAAGTGTAAACCATCAGCCCAGACCCTCCCCCCAGATGAGGAGAGGGGCCACCCTTCACCATCCTCAAGCATCTGTGAGGAGCAAACACCCCTCTCCAAGGTGCTCACATGGGGTGCAAGGACTCGGATAGAGCAAAGGAAGGGGTTCCTCTGCCAGTGCCCCAGAAGGCGCTGCTCCTGATCTGCCACAACTCTAGAGATCTAAGTAAATGGCGCAGCTTCCCCTGAATGAGCCCTGGAGCCCTGCTCCTGCGGCCTGATTGTTGTACACTCTGTAGGTGCCTAATAAATGCTTGCGCCTGGGCAAATACAATCCCTGTTGTAGCACATGTTGGACAGAAGAATCTCGCAGAGACGTTCAGCCAAGTAGAGATGGCTCTTTACTCACCGTTTTCCTTCCAGCACCGTAGTTTCTTTCTCTCCATTCTGCTGGGTGCCTCTTGAAAGGACTCAACGGGCAGTGGCTCCCCCTCTTCTTCCAAGCCTGCCCTTCCTCCCACGAGTGAGCACTGAGTGTAGGCAGGTGAGCTGGGCCAGTCTCAGCAGGCAGAGGCGAGGGGACATCTGGGCTCCTGCCTGCTGATCTAGCTCACCTGCCCTAGAGAACTGCCAGTCGCTGCAGCTCTTGCTCTGGGCTCCCGTCGCCGGGCATATTCTGAGGACCCACAATATGTCAGGTTATGGAAAAAACAGTCTTTTCTCTCAAGGGATTATGATCCCAGTAGAGAGGGCTGGTAGGGAACAACTATCCAAAATATAAAGTAGATTAAGATAGGTGTGAGGATTGCAGAGGGAAGTTAGGCAGGCAGGCAGCTTCCTGGGAAAGCCTTGAAGCCTAAAAGATATCAGAGAAGAGGTGGGAGTTTATTCATTATGTTTATCTTTCATCTTTGTTTCCAGCTTAAGAATATAGGCCGGGCAAGGGCAGGCATCTCGGCTGTGTTCCCTGATGTCGCCTAAGCCCAGCACGCAGTAGGTGCTCCCGTAGGCATTTGTGGAATGAATGAATGAATGAGTGAGTGAACAGAGGGGTCCTTCTAAATCTGATTGCCAAATTCTTATTCCAGAGACCTGAGATATCCAGAGTACAGTGTTGAGATGAAACCAATGACTTGAAAGCATGTAGGTTTCTGCTTTGATTTTTCCCCCCTTTTCCTCCCATTAGAAGAAAGTGATGGGCGGTGCCTGCATCTCAGTGGTTATGGCACCATCCACATACACCCAGGCTGGTGGGTTCAAACCTGGCCCGGGCCAGCTAAACAACAATGACAACTGCAACAAAAAAATAGCCAGGCGTCATGGTGGGCGCCTGTGGTCCCAGCTATTTGGGAGGCTGAGGCAAGAGAATCACTTAAGAGTTGGAGGTTGCTGTGAGCTGTGACACAACAGCGCTGTACCGAGGGCTACATAGTGAGACTCTGTCTCCAAAAAAATAAAGAAGAAAATGATGACCCTGACTTGGGTACTTTCATGGCAGTTTTGATTTTTTACTGAAGGATTTTGCTGCTTTGATCCTCCTTTCTGTAGAGAGAGGGGAAGGCCTGGGCTGGGTGGGGAGGTGTGGAAGGAAGTTGGGGCGCCAGCACCCCTGAACCTGGCTGAGAGGACCTCCAGGTTCCCCCATGAAGGTTCCCTCCTAAATGTGGAGCCAGAGGTGGGAGGTGGGGAAGGGCCGGCCCTAGGCATGTTGGGATGGGGAAGATGAGCTGCAGAAGCATAGCCCAGATTTGCAGGGAGGACTCAGACTTGAGTACAGGTGGGACCTTGAAGATAGCAGGTGGGAACGCAGAGGTCAGCGGTCCTGCCCAGACCTCCCTTTCTGATGGACAAAGGTTCTCCATCTTGGTCTTATCACCATGACTGCTGAGTGCATAGAGTCTGTCTGCAACTCCTGTTTCTGTGCCTTTGTGGCCCCCTCTGGTGCTGTCGAGCTGTTGAGTGTGGTGCTTGTTCATCCTGGCTCGACTGGAACATCCTTGAGGTTGGGAAGGTGTCATGCTCCTCTTTGAATTCTCTGGGGACCTTGCAGGCGGCAGGTGCTCAGGAAGCCTTTGTGATTGCTGGTGACTTGCCAAGGCCACTCAAGCAGTCAGTGGTAGAGCTGGACCTGGCTCTGAGTCTCTTAAACTGGAATGCAGGCTCCTTCCTAGGAAAGGAACTCAGATCCTTCAGCCCCTGCTCCGTGACACCCCTCGAGTTCCCCTGCTCTGCATGTCTTGGCGAGGCCACCTCTGGAACTTGCCACCTTCCTTGAATCTCAGCCATCCTCCTCCTCCTGGGATCCCCCTGCTGTTAATGGAAAAGCCCTGAAGAAGGGCAGGGATCGTCCTCTTCACTAGCTCCCACCTCGGGGCGATGGTGGAGTGTCCATCTGTGGGGCTGGAGCTGCTTGGAAGCACTAATCCCAAATGAGGCCTTGAAGGTTCTTTAGCCGAGCTGCCTCTGACGGGTGCTCACTCTCACGTATGGAGGGCGCCCCTTCACTTTTTTCCTCTCCTTCCTCCTCTCCTCCCATCTTTTCCCTTCTGTGCCTTAGTTTCTCCCATGCAGCGAGGCCTCTCCCATTTGGATCCAAGAGGCCAATGAAGAGGAGGAGGCTTGGCGGGGGGAGTGGGTGGGGTCTGGCTGGGCCAGAGAGAGGTGTCAGTGTCAGAGAAACACTGCAGTCCCGCCCGCCTGCGCAGGGGACCCAGGAGTAATGAGTTTCACATGCTCCTGGCCCTGCAGCCGGGTGCTTGCTGAGCCAGGCCCAGGCTCCCCATTCCTGCGTCCCTTCCCTGTAAAACCACATTATGCTCCTAGGAGAACCCCCATATCTACCTTTCAATCAAATCTCCCCCATTTCTTTGGTGCAGCTGAGGGCTGCTGGCAGAGGCCCAAGGGTAGGCATGATTTCCTGGGAGGGCCTGGCTGAGGCCCCGGGGAGGTCATTGCTCTCTGCAGGTTGGAGAGACTGCACTGGAGTAGAGGAGTGGGGCCGCTAACTCATTCAGGGCTGCAGCCCACTAGGGAAAGCACCTTGAGACAAGTCTGTGGTCACTGGGGTTTTTTCCTGCCCAGTGGGCTGTGTCTCCAGCAGATGGGAGCAGCCTGCTAGGTGGGGAGAGCCTGGATATTCCCTGTATTCGGCCTGGTGCTTTGGGCTGGACTCCACACATCACTCACAGGCTGTGTGACCTTTGCCGCTTAACTCAGGCTCCGTGTGAAGAGCTTCTGTTTCCTCTCTGCTCTCCACTGTGCCTTGTTGGGTTTGGCCACTGGAGTCCTGTTAGGAGATGGGAGGGGGAAAGACAGGGAGGCTGGGGTCATCTGGGGCTGGTCCTGTCCCCCCACCAAAGGACACAGCTCTGCCCAAGCTTCCCTACATGGATTTTCTCCTTCCAGGTTCCTTAACCACTCCCATCCCTGACCCTTTGGGCCTAAAGGTGGTTCCAGCCCAAGGATGTTGCTCTGTCCTGTGGACGTCCCTTTTGATACATATTTATTTGATATTTGATAAAGGACATGTTTAGATGAGCTTTATTAAACCCTGCGAAGTCTCCTAATCTGCGTGGGCCACATGCCAGGGCCTCAGCTTCTCTTATTGTCCTCACCACAAGATGAGAGTAATGTGGGGGGCCGTGGGGGAAGGTGAGTGATGTAACCTGCGTCAAGGGTCTTATACACATTAGACCCTTAATCCACATTCGTGTCCCTCCCTACTTTGGGGAGTCCCCTGCAAATCCTGAGGAAGTGGGAAAGAAGAAAAAGGAGAGATGAGGGGATCAGAAGGAGCTGGTGCTACCCAGGGCCCCCTGGGAAACACCTGAGGCGGGCTCAGGATTGGCTGGTGCGTATAATTTCAGCAGGCTCTGAGGCAGAGGGGCTGTCCCTGGGTGTCTGTACCTGGTCCAGGGGCCTGGAGTGGGAGGTTGGACCCTGGATTGGGTGGTTGGTTTGTGGAGGAAAGGCAGGCCCCCAGGGGAGTCCTTTATGGTGTCTTGGCATTGGCTGGGGGGGGGGGCAGTCTCTCCAGCCAGCAACCCCACATGTCACAGCATCAAATACAGAAGCCAGAAAATGTGCTCATTACAGGGGACATACAGGCAAACCCAGAGGCTTGGTGTGCTATGTAATTAGTCTCATTTACTCACAAATAGCCAGTAGATGTCAGCTGAGCACATGCTGTATGCTAGGACCCAGGGGATATATCTATATTTTTGTTAATAATTTATGGGTGCAATTCTGTCCACGTGATTAGTTGTTAATACACCATTGTTGCCCATGATTTTCCAATAAACCTCTAGATATGATCACTATTGGTAGAACTCCACCATAAAGCAATGATGCATTTTAAACTATTAAGAATAGAGTATGTGGGTGGCGTCTGTGCCTCAAAGGAGTAGGGTGCCGGCCCCATATGCTGGAGGTGGTGGGTTCAAACCTAGCCCCCGCCAAAAAAAAAAAGAATAGAGTATGAATGTCTTACCACAACAGATAAATAAGGGAGGAGATGGTTATGTTAATCAGTTAGATGTAAGCATTCCGCATTGTATATCAAATCAGCACATGGTACCCTATAAATGGGTGTGAAAGGTTCCATCTCCTCTGGCCACGCAGAAGCCCAGTGCCCTTTCCCAGTGCCCTCACTGAACTGCCTGCTCTAAGAACTCAGGTTTGGGATCCAACAGAG